TGTGCATCAAAATAAGAGCTAAGAAAGACTGAATCTTATACAGAAAGATAAAGCAAGCATCACATGATCTCAAATTCCAATTAACTTAGAACTCTAATCTAGATTAATCCTCTCATGAAGGCACTCCTCTACACTAATCCATTTTCAAACCAAATCATCATTTGTGAAATATGAATCAATGAGCATTAAGAAACAGTTCTAATATGCCATTCATGCATTTAACAATCATTCCCATGACATTAATGCATAAACCCTTAGTTAGCTTTCATTCAGGCATTTCATCAAACACTTTTGGTGCATGAAAAACCCAGATTCTAGACCCAAGTGATGTGCAAGGATCTAGCATTAGGATCAGCTAACTAAGGAAAGGAGAAGAGAATCTAAGCTTAAAAAATCATTAATCTACATCTAAGCACCCTAATCTACACACCTAGAAGCTTAAAATATGACTACTCACTAATCATGAAGAACACATCTAATCTTTTGCAAGAGATGATGTTAATCATGATTAGAAGCAGAAATGAGATGATGAGATGATGAGAAACAGACTTAGATTAATTAAATCCTTGAGATCTCTCTTAATCAAAAACGTTTTTACACTAAAAAGGAAAGAAAACTAGAGAGAAACTAAGAGAGAAGATGATCTCCTTGGGTTTTTTCTCCCAAAAAACTATATATACCTAGTGCTAATGGACCGGGTCAGCCCAGGACAAACTGGGTACTGACCCGGCTCAGTTGGGTCAAGTGGAAATCCTGCGGGTCAGTCCAGTATGTCCCAGGTCGCACACCTAAGTCGCAGTAGATGAAGACTTGTCTTGTGAAGCCTGAATCGCCTTGTCTTAGCCGCACGCCTAAGTAGGAGTGTTTTGCGAGTGTTGCTGCGGCTTGGTCTCCTTCCTCTCCAACTCGCAGGGCTAAGGCGGTTTCTGGGGAATGTACAAACTGTGCGGGTTGGTCTCTATTGCACCTAGGTCGCAGGCTCAAGTCGGAGTGATTTGCGAGTGTTGCTGCGGCTTGGTCTCCTTCCTCTCCAACTCGCAGCATCCAGAGCAGCTTAGACCACTTCGCATTCCGGAGAGTGTAACTCCTATGAGACTTGTTCGCAGGCTCAAGTCGGAGTGATTTGCGAGTGTTGCTGCGGCTTGGTCTCCTTCCTCTCCAACTCGCAGCATCCAGAGCAGCTTAGACCACTTCGCATTCCGGAGAGTGTAACTCCTATGAGACTTGTCCGAATTGAATGATTTCGGTTGCAGAAGACAGATGACTCATTTATCTCCAACTTTTGTGAAGAAAGCTTCGGTTCTTGGGAAGTGTAAGGCTTCCTGGAGGGCACATCTTTGCAGTGCATGTACACGGACCAGAGAGAGGAGTCTAGACATGTGTCCATTCCGGAGACTGTATCTTTCTGCTCATAGATCCGAATTGAATGCTCTTGGACGTTCTGGAAAGAAGGCTCAAATGTCTATGGTTCTCATGAAGGACCCGGAAACTAAATCGGCCTGGAAGTGCACCGTCCTTCGCATCCTTTAGAACTGATCTGCTCGGTCCGGAATACCTGCGAGACTGGGGTTCCTTCCGACAAGCTTATCTCTCTGCCCACGCGTCCGAATTCCACGATTCTACTTGCTAAGAGACCGTGATGCAAGGCTCTCCAACTTCTATGAAGCACCCGCCGTCTGAATCGGACCGGAAGGCTCCCCGGACAGGCGATCATTCAGGGGTATCGGATTGCTCCGGAATGAGTGCGAGACCTGTTCGTCTTCCGATTACCATATCTTTCAGTTCTGTGGTCCAAATGCCTTGATTCCAACTGTTATGAACTCTTGACTCAATTATCTCCAACCTTTATGAAGACTCCGATAGCTGAATCTGACCGGAAGGTTCCCCGGACGGGCGATTTCTGAGACATGTTTGCACCCGGAGATTTTGGCCGATACACTTCACTCGCGGTACGTGTTTTGGTCGACAAAGTTCACCCGCGGTACGTGAAAATGGTCGACAAAACCTTCCTGGCCAGCGAGAATGGCCGATAACCTCCATAAACCCAAGTTTTCCACTTTTTCAAGCTTTGCTCACCATTCCACCTCCTGGATTCGTCTTTTCAGCTCCATATTCACCTGATAGACACTCAAAACATGCAAAGACTCATTGGGACCTAATGCATTCTCCTAAGTCCTAAAACAAACCCTAAGGACCTAAAATGCATGAAATAAAACATGATTTGGAATGATTTATGCAACCTAATTGATGCAAATTATGAACATATCACGTAAGCATGATGGACACTTATTCAGCAACAACGGTGACCCGACAAATTTTAAGCTCGGGGAACCGGCCGGTTTTACTTCTTCTCCTTGTTCGGACCCTTCTTGGTCCATATTTAAATTTCGATTAATAGGATCTCCAGGCTGGTCGTCGTTGGCCATTCCTTGCGTTTGTCTAAGTCTTCGAAGTTCTCTTTCGTGTCTGTCTATCTCGTCTAGAATTGGAATGTCTCCTGCAGGTCTACGCCTGGTATTCATGCAATTCAGAGAAAGGCAAAAGAAGGGAAAGATAGTTCAGAAAAACTTTAAGAAAGAACTAGAGATCAGGTGTCTAGAACAGAAGTTAAAACAAGAAAAATAGCAAAAGGCAGCGAAACAAATCCCCGGCAACGGCGCCAAAAACTTGATGTGTGCTCGCTACGTGAGGGAACAAGTTTTACCCTTAACAAAACAAATGAAAGCCGCAAGTGCACAACTAATCGGTTGTACTATTTAGGGATCGAATCCACAAAGATTTGTGTGCCTGGTATTCTTCTACGGTTTTTAACTTTATGTCTAGACTAAATTGGTTTTAAAGGTTGGTTGTTTTTCTTGCGAATTAACCTTTAAAACTGCAGGTAGGTTTCCTCCTACGGAAAAATCGCCTGTTTCATTCTAGGGCTGATACTTAATGAAAACTTTCGCAACACTAACTATCTAGACCAGATACTAGGTGATCAATCAAGCATACATGCAATAAGAACAAGAATAAACAGAGAACAGGTCAAAATCACAGATCTATAAACCTAGATGTCTTAATCGATTATGAGAGCCCCTTTCGGGAACCTAAGCCCAACTCGGGATCTACTCAGACATGGCTGAGTTCGACATCATCATTGGTTTTAATAAAATTAATGAAAACAGTAAAGAAAAGAGATAAAGAAAGCTTCTCTATTGAAGAACTCGGACTTGAACAATCTTCTACGAAAATCTCATAAAAACAGCTAAAGGAAAAGGGTTTCTGTAAATTATGAATAATCTCTCCTAAAAACGACCTAAATGACATGTATTTATAGTCTCCAATACTCCATGGTCTCTAGGGTTCCGGAATTGAGGCTGAGAATGACTTTGGGCTTCAGATAAGTGGGCTCTAACTCGGAGCTTGAATGCCGCGGTCGGGAGTGTTGTGACCGTGGCAATTGGCTTGTTGGCCGCGGTCAGGAAGCTTCTGACCGCGGCAAATAGCTTGTTGGCCGCGGTCGCGTGAGTTGCTGGCTGACTCCGCGTGGCTCCGGGGCTAATGAAATATCTTGAGATCCAACCGTTGGAATGTCTCGAAACCAAGTGCATTTGAAAGCTGGTTGATTCTTCTATAAGTTGTCCAATTTTGAGGGTGATCAGACGGTGAGAAGGTCTTCATCTCTCCATGAGAGTTCTGACGGTCTGCATTTATCCAAAAGAGTCTTTTTGTTCTATTTTGTGCTTCTTTATCCCAAATTATCTGAAAAGTCTTTTAAAATCCGGAAACATAGAAATCCTTTGAAAACCTTTGAAAACGGAGTAAAAACACCTGTAAAAGATATTAAAATGATTCATAAAAATGGTCAAAATCCGGTGTTATCAACGTTACCCCAAGTAGAAGACGTGAATTTTGTTGGCTTCATCCACTCCTTTCATTATCGTTGATAGCTCCTCAAACTCATTCACATAATCCACTATTGAACCTGTCTGTTCCATACTAAACAAGCTCTTTGTTGGATTCTCTTCCAACTACAGACTGAATCTGGCAATTAACCTCTCTCTTTGAACTGATTCCAGCTCTGAAACTATTGAATCTCAATCTCTCTATTGTACTAATTCAACACTGATCCTTGTAAACTGATCGACATCAAATCCAATTTTTCTGCGTCGCTGTATTTCCCTAGTCGGAAAAATCTTTCTGCTAACACAATACATCTGTATATCGTTCACACACAGAAAATTCAATCTTCTTCAACATACCGTTCCTATTCTCTAGAACATTATGAATTTCCTGATAACCTACTGCGATTCATCCGGATTATCATATGATTCCAGAGATCGTACCTGGATTGGATTTTTGGAAAACGTCGCGACTTGTTTGCCACGAGATTTATCCGAGAATTCATTTGCCTCGATTTGTGCCAGCGTCAATGTAATTGTGCTGAGCGTTTTGTCTACCGATTCGATCTTCTTTTCAATCATTGTTACTTATGTCACTACTAGAATCAGACGTATACCCAGAAAAATAATTGTAGCTATTGCTCCAAATCCGTGGCTATATAGCAATTAGCCACAGATTGCCACGAAAGAAGTTTCTGGCTATAGCATCGTGGCTAATTGATATTCGTGGCTAACCGTAGCTACGCTGCCACATATAGACACGATGGCAATCCTGGCTAATTTGCCACAATTTAGCCACTGTTTTTTCCTGACTCTTATAGCCACAAAGAGCCACAACGATCACATGGCTATTAGCCAGACGTAGCAACGCAAGATTCATGGCTAAGAGTCATGTTTTGCCACATTACCACCATGGCTTTTGCTACCAATAGCCACAATCTTCCGTAGCTATATAGTTATTGTTTATATCTATTAATTTTTTGTATCTATTACTTCCATTATTAATTTATTTTATATTCTAAAACTGTAAAAAGAATAAAAGAAAAATAAAAGCAGAAAGTGAAATAGCAAAATAAAATATATAAAAATATTTTACAAACATAAACTAACATCAGGATTAACAAACACTTAGTCATGTAAACAGACTAGAAACAAATGAAAAACAAACACTTAGTCATGTAAAAAAACTAGAAACAAATGGAAAACAAACACTTAGTCAAGCTTGCCACCCGCATCTCCATATCTACATTTCGGGAGACAAGCATGGATTGTATTGTTTGGTTCCTTATCTTGAGCCTGAGTCATGCCGAGTCCATAGATACAACCTTTGTGTGGCTGGACATGCTGCTGCAAAGTAAGAATGAATTTGCCATGTTAAGATATATAATAACACTATTGTAAATTAGATATACAATATCACAATCATAATCATCATCAATTGCAAAAAATGTATTACTCCAATCTTATCCAAAGGCAAATAACTTGATCATATTATTAGTAAAGCTGCAATCCTAACAAACAAATATATCAAACACTCGTAATGAAATAAAATTTATTACCACTAAATAGGCTTCATTGAGCTGATGGCGAGAAGGAATGGTGGCTGAAGATGCAGTGTTGTTGGTCTAAACCCTGATCTTTTCCTCTTGCTTACAAGGTTATCAACCGGTTCCTTCACCTACTCCTTCCAATTATAATAAACAGAATCATGATGTGGTGCCTCTCAAAAATAATATTGCTGAACAAATGAAATTATACTATTTATTAGATTATACACTAGTAAAAAAAGAAAATTGACAAATTGATGATGTACTATTTTTGTAAAACTCACCACGAAATCACTCCACCATTTCTAAAACTATAAGGTTTCTTAAGTTTACAGTAAACTCTAATTATCTTTCCCTAAACTATCGTTTGCTGAAAAAGTAACCCATTACACAAAAGTTTGAGATAAGATCTGAAATTAGTTCACAATACATGTTATCCTAAATTATTTGATGAGAACAAACAACAAACAGCAAGCAAGGGTATCAAAGGAAATCGAAACGTAGGAGGATTACCGGCAAGGCGAGATGTCTCTGGAAGGATGGAGCGGCGGAGTAAGGCTTTGGCGTGGAGGAAATGAAATAAATGCGGGAATTGAAATTTTCGTGGATGTGTGTCTAAAATGAGGGTGGGAAATGAAAATAACTGGAACTCGACATTAAAAAAAAAAATCTGGAAAGTAAATTTTCCCAAAAGAAAGAAAAAAATCATATGATGATAATTTTATATAAAATGGTTTTATAACAGATACATAACATGAATCGTCCAATGGTAAAGGTGTGTTTGGAATATAACTTTGCAATATGTCATTACTTATACTTAATTTTATTCTATTTAATTTTCACTTATAGATGTCTAAATAGAATTGGTGGTTATAGGCATAATTATATTGGAATACAATTGTATTAAGTAAAACTTAAAATTTAAAAAAACAATCGAGTTAAAAAATATTAAGTAAATTACAGTTATAAGATAAAGAAAATGTAAATTTTTAGAATCACTGACTTTCACGATTTCGTGTCAATCTATTTAAAGAAAAGTGCAAAGTTTAATGATTGGTTAATCTGTTTAAAACATGATTATTATGATTTGTGTGTAAATTTCCATAACTAAAAGAGCTTACATTTCTAAAATGTAAGTCCAGAGCCGTGCTTAATGAACAAAAAAAATAAGGCATTTGCCTTAGACCCTCTTAATATTAAGCAAGTTTTAGGGCCCCTAATTTTTGTATTTTTATTTAGTATATTGGTTGGTGTCCCAAAAAAAAGAAAATTAGTATATTGGTTAATATATATTTTTGTGTTATTTTTTGTGGTTGAAAATTTATTATAAATTAATAAAAAGCATAAGTACTTTATAATATCTTATAAAATAATATTTAAATCTGATTTACAATTTATATTTTTTTTAGAAATAATTAGAGCAAAATGAAATTTTTTCTTGTTATTTGCCTTAGGCCCCTAATACTCTAAGTACGGCACTGTGTAAGACAAAGATCACATTACTTTGTCCAAATACATCAAGAGTTTTGTTAGACAGCTCGAGAAGATTTGGAAGACTTCAAGTTTGTGATTACTATTAAAGTATGAACTGAAAATTATATATAAAAGGGTTGCTATAAATATTAAGCGAAACTCTTTTCAGTGACTTTAGTTTTTATGTTTTTGCTATTATATATCGAGTTTGATGTTCCGAGAAAGAAAAAAAAAAGAGATTATTAATAAAATTCTATTTTGCTTACTATTATTGAATTTTATAAGATTATTACTTGTTTATGTGATTTAAACTACTGAATGCTTTTGGCCATTATTTTTCTAGAATCGAATAGATAAATGATCTCAGGTAGTGGTATTATATAATACAATACTGATCCATTCAAACCATAACAAAAAACAAAAAACAAAAAAAAATCAGTGATAACATTTGAATTAATATATTCAACTGATATCTGAATTAAACTTCTACTAGATTTTACCCTGTGCATCCGCACGGGAATTTTGTTTTAATCAAAATTTTTATTTTTTTTATAAATATAATTTTTTAATAAGTGGTATAGAAAGAATTTGTGTTTAGATATATATATTTTTCAGTATTATTATGACCATCATGATCATAAAAATATAATTTAAACCCGATTATTTTATTAATTAAAAAGTGACTGTTATTATAAAAATATATTTCTAACTCGCTCATTTTATTAATACGAAAAACCATGTTTATGATCCCATAATTCTAATCCACCGTTTATATTACTTTATAATATAATTATTTACTAATTTTGAAATAATTTTCTCTTAATATCATCCATGCTTTCATAACCTAACAAAAAAATTTAACTTGTCCCATCAAATTATTATATAATATTAATATTTATCTATTTTTAATATGTGAAATTTTAATCTGATAGAATATGATTAAAAAATATAATAAGATATTTTTTAATCATATGTGTTATTCTGAAAATTTTATTTAAATTTCAAATATTAAAAACCTCTATTTAAGGAAATCTATTTAAATTAATATCTATAGAATATAGATATAACCTATATTTAAGAAAATTTTTAGTTATCTAAATTAATATCTAATTTTCGGAATTAAATTTATATATATATAAAAAATATTTTTAAAAAAATTTTAGGAGTGTTTGGAAACAAACACTAAATGTGCTTCTGTTTTATATAATAGATTCTTGCATTTGATATATCATATAGCCACGGTTCTTTCCTAGCTTACTGTGGCTAAGTAGCAGGAATAGCCACTGTTTTTGGATCGCGACAATTAGCTACGAAAGAACGGTGGCTATATATGTGGCAAGATAGCCAGGACTATTTCCTGACATTTATGTGGCTATATAGCCATTGTTAGCCACTATCTCTTTGCCCTCGCTAAATAGCCATGAAATAGCCACTATAATGCCACGATTTTTATGTCTTTGTATATAGTGGCTTTTACGTGGCTATTACGTGGCTATTACGTGGCTAATATAGCTAGCCACGGAAATATATATGGCTCTACCGTGGCTATACGTGTGATTTCTAGTAGTGTGTCATCCGCTCGGCATTCGTCTTCGTTAACAAACCCCAACCACCGCGAATGACTCCGACCTCGTCAGAAAGCTCTGCCATCAAGCCTTGTAGCTCCTCCGTCACTCTAACAATTTCCATCATCTTCGTCGCCGTGAACTCACCGCACCAATTGTTAAGAGAAATGTATTGTTTTATTTCACTTAACAAGCGGAATATAAGATTGATCCAAGTCTAAGACTCTCAAATGTTGAATCGACCAAAGAACTCGATTAACAAGAACAAGCTCTTGTAATTGATCGTGAGCAAAAGCGGGGTTGTTGTTTTCGTTTTACTAAGCTTCACGTTTTAAATTTATAACCCCTAAATATCTGCAAGTGCACAGATATGCGCTGTAGTACTTAGGGTATCCATCTACAGAGACTTAGTTGTTTCAGTACGAATTCACGACAATGCTTAAATCAGACTAGAACTAAGTAGGTTTTGGTTTTGGTTTTGGGTTTTTGGTTGTCACTAAATCTAAACTATAAAACTAAACAAGTAAAAGCAATTAAAAACAAAAGCAGGTAAAGCAAATAAAAAGCGATTAACAAAGGAGAATGGAAGCAAGTAAATAGCGATTGAAAAGCAAACTAAATCGAAGGTTGTAAGCAATTAAAGACAAACGTTGGGCATCAAGGGTTTCACAGGGATTCATGGTCTAAGCTATGTCGATTTTAAATAAGTTATAAAGGTAATCAACTACGTATGTTCTAGAACTCGAGGCACGGAAGTATGAATAGCCTACTTTCGCAGCACTAAATAACTATCTCTCGCAACCCTGATCAGTAGGTTTCCATCCTGATCCTGGAAGGGAGAAAATGCAATAGCCGAACAAGACTCATCAACATTCACAACTCAACTACAGGTAGGTTTCCACTCCTATAGAAGTATTGCTTGTTTCACCCTAGTTCAGACAATCAATGAAAACTTTCGCAACATATCATATCAGATCGGCTTCTAAGTGGCCAGCAGAGAATCACGCAGTAAGATTAAAGGCAAACGAAGAACATCTAGAAGATTAATAATCCTAAATCTATCGATTCATAAGCAAAGACACATGAAATTCCCTTTGGAAAATCCCTTTAAACCCAACAGAGTAACTACTCAAACATATTGTAACAAAGCATCATAAACAAAATTGAAAGTGCAGGAAATTAAAGAAAAGAGGGAAGAAAAACGAAGAACAGAGTCGCAGATGGAGGCGCGATGATGCTCTCCTCGACGGCTTCTCCTTCAAAGGCGGTGGCTCCTAGGGCTTCTCACACAAACTCTCTCTCTTTCTATCTTATGTCGTCTCCCCCTCCTTTAGGAATGACTTAAAGGGGGTATTTATAGCTTCTGGGGTGGTTCTGGACACTTAGGGCTTCAAAAATAACTAAAGGAATTGATTTGGGCTTTAATTAAGTCGTCAGGGAAGTGAACGACCAAGTTCCGCGGTTGCGGTGGCTCTACCCGCGGGAAAACAGGTGTTGGCCGCGGTCCCGGCACATGGCTCTCTTCCGGAACTGCATTTTCTATCATTCTTGCATCGGGAGTATCTGAAGATCTAACCGTTGGATTGTCTCCAAACCAAGTGCATTAGAAAGCTGGTTGGATCCTCTATGTTTTCTCAAATTTTGGGGGTGATCAGACGGTGAGAAGATCTTCACCGCTTGTCATACCTCTGACGGTCTGCATTTATCCAAAATTGCTCATTTGTTCCAAATTGCATATATTTTGCCCAAGTTTCCTGTAAAGTCTTTTGAAATTCTAAAACATTGAAAACACTTTAAAAACCATTGAAAACAGAGTTAAAACACATGTATAAGACATAATTATGATCCATAAAAGTGGTCAAAATATGGTGTTATCAAACAAACTCAAGTCAGGAAAGAAATTTTAAAAATCGCAGGAACTAAACAATATCTCAGTGACCGTCCTTCTAAACCATAACTTATCGTGAAACATCTATTTGGATATGGTCTAGAAAATTCTCACTAAAATACAAGCAAACTAGTCCGTTAATCCGTTATACGAAAATCTACACACTTAGATCTAACTTCCAGTCAACTAGCTCTCTAAATTCATTAAGTATATTGTGAGTTCTCATCAAAAACATCATTCAGGGTAGACGGCGTTTGGCATTGAAGGCTATTTAAGTGTGGAGCTTAGGTGTTTAGGGGTTACCTGAAGAATATGGAGGATGCAAGATATTATGCAAAACCGCAAGAGAGAGAAGGACCTGTTGATGATCGCAGATTTTCAGTCACTTCTTCTTTGCCATTTGTTGTTGCATAATCTTCCTCCTTTGTTGTAAATAGATGTTCCCCAGACTTAGATCTTTTCCGGGAATCATAAAGATAATCTCCAAAACTCCATAAAATCGAACTCTAGCTTGCCTTGGGACTTAAAACTCGACCTCTCTAGACTCTCTAAGTTTTTAAATTTCCTCCTATTCATTTTTTTTTTGAAAGGAGAAAACAACCTTTTATAGAGAGAGAGTCTAAAGGACGAAATTGTACCAAGATTTTGAAGTTTTTTTCCAAGGCAGACTGAGTTTTCTCCTTTTGTT